GCAGAATTTGGGGTCCTTCAGGGTGTGGATATAGGATTCCTGGGGGAGAGCAGAATTTGGGGTCCTTCAGGGTGTGGATATAGGATTCCTGGGGGTGGAGGGAGTGAATCTGGAGATCCCTGGGAGGGGCTAGGTACAGGATACCCCGAGGAGGGCTGGATTTATGGGCTACGTGGGTGCGGGGATGGAATGTGGGATCCCGGGGGGGGGCCTAGGTTTTGGCGTCCTTGGGGTGCGATATGAGATCCCTGGGGAGAGGTGCTGGATTTTTGTGTCCCTGGGGCAGGGGGGTGGATATGGGATCCCCGAAGCTGGCTAGGCTTCCTGTGGTGGGTGCTTTGGGGATGCCACCCCCGTGGTGTCACCCACCACTCCCCCCTCTCCCCTCCGCCAGCGCCGGCATCTCCCGGTGCCGATGCGCACAGCGGGCCCGCGGCCCCCCCGGTCCCCCCAGCCGCCCACGGTCCCCATGGCAACGGCAGCGCCAGCCACCCGCCGCCCACCCGCGCCCACCCACCCCTCCGGATGGGGGGGACACCGCTGTCCCCGGGCCCCGGGGCTGCTGCTGGTCTCGGGGGTGGCCCCTTGTATGTCCCCCGCACCGAAATCCACCCCCGCACCCTGCCGCTGACACTGGGGGTCTTCAAGGTGCCCTTGGGGGACGCCGGGGGCGATTCTGTCCTGCCCCGACCTCTCCCGGGTGTTGTGCTTAAGGAGGGTTGGAGCCTGGAGGGGTTGTTTGGGGTGACATCGGTGCGGGCGGAGGGAGCTCGGTATTGGGGGGAACGGGGGGGATTCCCCGAGGGGGGGAGAAGGCAGGGCACGGATGTGGGATCTGTGAGCAGGTTATCTGGATATTGGGGCTTTTTAAGGGGAGCATGTGGGATCCGGAGGGGGTGCGGGTTTGGGGTCCTTTGCGGGGGGGTTGTGAGATTCCTGAGAGGGGGTCTGGATCCCAGTGGTGTTGCGGGGAGTGAGGATTTGGGTCTGGATTTGGGGTCCTTGGGGGGATCCGTCAGAGGGAGTCTGGACACAGGGCTGTTTGGGGAGGACTCCCGGGAAGGGGCGTCTGGATACGGGGCCTCTAGGGGTGGGGGCTAGTTATCCCGCTCCCGGGGGAAATTTGGGATAAAGGCTCCCTGGGCTGGGGGGTCTGGCTGTAGGGCCCTCGTGGAGACAAGGGGGATCCCCCGGCGTGCGGGGGCAGGTCCGAGGTGGGGGTGCCCGCGGAGGGGCCGGGGATCCCGGCGGGGGGGCGGCGGGGGCTGTCCCGGGCTGGAGCCTCCCCCGGCCCGGCGCCTCCCCCCGCCCCCCGCGCCGGGCGGAGCCGGAGCCGAGCGGAGCCGGTGCCGGGGCGGCTCATTGCGGCGCGGCGCGGCGGCAGCATGGCCACCACCGTGCCCTGCACCCGTTTCACCGACGAGTACCAGCTCTACGAGGAGATCGGCAAGTAAGGGCGGCGGCACCGGCCCGGCCCCGGCCCCGGCCCCGGGGCGCGGCGGGGGCGGGGGGTGCTGCCCGGGGCTCGGGGAGCCGCTCGGTGCAGACGTGACGCATCCCCCCCCC